TCTTACATGATTTATTACTATAGATCTTAGATATGTACAGTGAATTACAAAATTTGGTAAAATTATAGTAGAGAACTGATATTTTCCCTTTACCTACAAAGAGGAGAATCTATATTTTGACTAGATTTTAATATTGGAACTCTGCATCCTGCAGAATAAAATCTCCGTTTAAATAAAATATATAATTTGCTTTAATTAATAACTTAAGAGGAAACATTTGCAGAGATATTCAAAAACAAATTTACCGATTTAAAGCATCTTAACGGACATGTTTTCTATAAAAAATCAGGAAAATTTGAGCTAAAATTTAGAGGATAATTATAAGCTGTTCGCTTTTGAAAATTATTTGTCATGTATTCGAAAAAGTAGCATTTGTTATTAGCTTTATGGGTGTTATGTTGAAAGCATTTTTAAGCATATAACAGCAAATTTTACGCAAAATGTACGGAATTTTTTTAAAGTTAATTAAAGAATAATGGACATTTTACGAGTATCTGCAACGAAAAGACCACGAATTACACGTCTTTTCTACCAAACAGCGAAAAGCTTGAGTATTGAAACTATTTTAATAAGATTCCTCATTTTAGAATATTTGTAGTTAGATATATATTCTTGGTATTTGAAAGCAAAGTTTAGAATTGTTATTTTCGAGCAACCATGACACTAACGTATATTTTAACATATCAAAGTTTTGACCCACTTCGAAGAAAAGTTCATTCTGTCGAAGAAGTCTCTACCACTGTTTTATCTCATATCCTTTTATTTATTTTGACTTTAGGTTCATTAAAAGAAAATCTAAATTTTAAAACTTTTTCAAAACTGATACTCCAAGGAAAATAGGATATTTAAAATGCAGGTACATAGAAAAGCCATCATATTGCATTAATTTGCTTTAAGAATTAAAAAAGAGGCGTTTAAATTACGGAGAACAATCAGACAAATGAAAAACATATTTTACGTTTTAATATCGAATTGAATTTCCGTTCCATTCATATGACAGCTAACTTATTATAGAGTGCAAAGTTTCATTTGTCATTTTAGAAACATCATTCTGAAGTTAAAAGTAATTTAAAAATTTCACCTTCTTTTAGAGCATATTATTTTAAGATTACATTCTTTAAATTATACATTGTATATATTATATGCCACGGCGATTAAGGGCATTTAGATTTACTCCATAAGCATTTAGAATATTTTATTTATGAAATCTAAATGATTGGTTTCTACATTTTCTAAGCTTTTCTAATAATTCTTTAAATTCACCACTTTCTGGCACCGAGATTACTGTAATGTATAAATCGCGTGCGGAGAGAAATAGTTCTAATTGAATTTTGTTCCACTGCGCCTTAAGGAATTAGATGGAATTCATCATCACAATTTTTTTTTTTTGATGATATCTTTTCGCAGTGGCGAGACAGAAAAGAATATTAACGGAGATACGATAAACATTACCTCCAACATTAATTGTTAAGAACTATTCTGTAATTAAAATTACTTTATTTAATAAGAGTTAGCACTTAAAGTAGTTGGTCTCATGCACATTAAATGATTTTAAGCATCCTACCTGTGGCTCCAAGAAATAGTACGCTTATTGTTCTTAACTTACGGATGATGAATTATAGTCAAGAAAAGAATGAAACGCAACTAACGCCTTGAGCTTTTTAAGGGAGGTGAAAATGAGAGGCATTTGTTAATGTTGTTTCGGGGAAAAGAATACATTTTCATAATGAAATTATTTTCCTTCTGGGTAACTAGTTTTGTGCGTGCATTCCTGTCTTAATTGCTTAATATTTGCTTTTTTTCAGCTCAGTTTGTTAATAGAATAAAAATTATATGACGCATGATTTTTGCTTTAAAACTAGCTAAATATTTTCAGCAAAGTTAAGTACTTTTAAACCTAAAGTACCATTTTTAGATCAAAATCCTTTGTAGTTTCCTTTGTAAAATGCATACTGATCTTTTAATTTTTATTAGTCTTAAATCGAAGAATATTTCCTAGTTCCTAATAGTTATTATTATTTATAAATGCGACTTTAATTTCGCTTAAAAGGTAATAATTTAAATTAATTAGAATTTATATTATTTATTAAGTATTTATCAGATATTAAAAAGATTAAGTGCAGCGGTTTGCAACTTAGTTCAGTTAGTGTGTTTAAACTTAACGATGCAAAAATGACAAGCTTTCAATGCAAATTACAATTCAAAAACCTCTTCAGATATTTATAAAAATTATAAATTAGATACTGTAAGAATTAGATAAAAAATAGGTATTTATTAAAATTCAAAATATATGAGAGATAAAACTATTAAGAGTGCATATATGGGGTGCAGCAGAAATAACTTCCACATTTCAAAGAGGACTAAAAAATGCCACGAGGTATCATCAGAAACTTTTTATTTCCTAAATGTAGGTTTATAACATTTTTTTGTTATTTAAATTTGCCTTGACGGCTGATACATATTTGAAGCCGTTTTCAATCTCTCTTTCTAGCAAGCCGAGAGAAATTTCTTCACTTTCTTTTTGAACAGTTTCCTCTGGCTGGTCCAAAGACTGAGATCGATGTTTAGAAACATAGGCCTTGAGGTACTCCCAAAGAAAAAAATCACGGAGACTTAAATCAGGCGAGCGCGGTGACCACGGCACGGCCTCACGTAAGGACCTGGAACGTTGTTTGCAAAATATGCGTGAACGATGTGCTGTATGGACCGCAGTTCCACTTTTTTGGAACAAGAAATCCTCTAGGTTGTATTCCTATACTCTTTAATTTTTGGACGCAGAAAATTGTCCAACACGATAAATTATCGGTTAGAATTCACATTAACTGTGACTACCCCCTCTTAAGAAAATAAGGTCCAGTAAAAATAAGTCCAGAAAATAAGGTCCAGTGGTAAGAAAATAAGGTCCAGTGGTAAGAAAATAAGGTCCTATAGGCAGTAGATAGTCTCCCAATCTATACTGAGGCCTTACTAGTGAATATTAAATACTACCACATATACACAATTCGTATAACTAAAATAATTTTGTGAATATACCGAGATATAGTACCGAGAGCTCATTCAACATGGGAACAACCCGATTTCTATCAATGATGCCCGCGTTGGAAAGAATTCTGCAGATTTTTGATGGTCTGAAAGCATTTTATTAGAAAAAAAATGTGCCCATCAACAATATAAAACTTGTTTACTGATTTAACGGGTGAGCTATACTTGTGGTTTGTCCACGGACAGCTTGCACTAATTAACAGGACCATCCCGGTAATTGAAAAAGATAACACTACAGCTTTTGAGATTGCTGAAGCTCATAAACCTCTCAAAAGAAACCTGACAGAAAGAAAGGCTTCACACTTTATCCACACTTCACACTTTATTTATACAAAGAACATCTACAGGAGTCTAGATGAGCAAGTCCGTAACAGTGTAAAAGAAGGACTTGATGGCTTTTATGAAAGATGCATTGCATACCTGGACTCTGGGAGAATAGTTTTGGAAACGATAAAAAGTTTTCATGAGTCACTCTGACCAAAACAAATGCTGTTTATTGTTGTTGTAAAACGCCGAACTTTCTCCTGAAATTATTAATAGCAGTCTTCTTGACATACCCGATATGGAAATGAACAATGATCAGCTGTTTGATGAAGTTGTGCTTGCTAAGGAGTATTTGCAGTCAAACTGGGCACATAGGATGTAAGAAGAGACTACCAGAGATTTGCTTATTTCAAGTAAAGAAAAATGGCTCAGGCTGTTTGGTCACTTCAAGGAGAATTACATAGCAGCCCCCAATCTGATCAAGATTGTTGAGTATACCTTCTGCTTACTTAAGACATAAGCACCAGTTAAGAGAGTATTTTCGTTGATGAACAACGCATAGACTGATGATAGGGGTTTGATGAAGGAATCTAAGGTTAAATGCTTGATGGCATGTAAAATTAATATCAGATTAGCTTGTAAAAATTTTTACAAGATTAAAACCAAAAAAGACTTTCTAAAAAAGTTATTGCCAATGAAAAGTACATGTAAATATTGCTCAGTTTTATTCCTCATTCAAAGTGTTTGTTCTTACTTAAGCAACTTATAAATAGTAAGATGTAAGAAATAAAATGTTTAAATTTGTATGCTTGTGTCATTTATTATTACCACTGGTTTAGCTTCCTAATCAGTAACCATTTATTAATAGCCTTGAGAAAAAAAAAACTACCCTCTAAAACACTCTAAAAACCCGCCAAGGGTTTGTACCTTTACAGCATTTAGCGATTTTTCGCTCTTACCAAGAAAGCGTTTTCTTGGTGGTTTCATTCTCTGGAAAATCGTAGCAATACTTAACAGATGCTTAAAATGTAAATGAAATAAATTTTAAATGCATAAAAAAGGATATATTTAATTTAAATAAATGAACTATGATTAATTTAAATCTCTAATATATATAAATATTTAAAAAAATGATATAAAAGCTACGAAAATATTATTGTTAACGAAATATAATTAGCTGAATGCTTTGCATTACATTAATTACTATGCAAAGCGTCTAATCAGGTAACATCTATGCCAATGATATAAAGAGAAATATAACAGAAATAAGTATTTGGAATAATAACAGAAATAAGGTATAATAATTTGGTGACAAGTAATAAGTAATAAATACGCTTTTTCTAAAATAAGGATTGGATATCTTTTATTCTACTATTAAGCAACCGGATCACATTAAAAATGGCTCTAATACCTCTAAAAATAGATATCGTCGTAAAGGTGCTTTGAGATAAAAATATGAAGACGTGCATTGTCAGTATCATCAATAAGAGGGTAATTTGAAATAACATGCATCAAAAACATTTCGTAATACAAAAAATTTATTTTACTTAATCGCATTTATTTTGAAAACTAAAATGAAATATATGAAATTACTGTTATTAATTTCCCGTAAGCATTTCACTCATTTGATGTAAAGAGATATTCTTATGTAAAGATGTCTAAAATATGGTTAATACATTTTTTTCATGGTTTAGATGTCTTGCCAGAATTCGAAGCTGTCCTGGGCTCTACAGCTCACTTGCCATGCCAAGTACCCCAGCGCCCTCCAGAGAGCGGTATCAAATGTATCTTTTGGTACAAGGATGATGAAGTGATGTCCGTCTATACTGTTGATGCTAGAGAAGGAGGTACTCATTCCTTGCACGTTCCTTCTGACAAACTCCGAAGTAGAGCAACATTTGATCCAAGTCCTTGGCCTCCTGTATTGAAGCTGGTATCTGTAAAAGAAGGTGATGCTGGGGTGTACTACTGCCGAGTCGATTACAGATGGGATAGAACTTATATGTATACAGTAGTCCTCAAAGTAATAGGTAAGTATTGTAGATTCCAAAATGTCCTAACACATGTTATTTAACATACGAGTACAAACATGTCTTAAATTGCCGTTGTTTTAAGGATTCTTTGACAATCAGTCTAATACTGCTACTAAAAATCACAAACATGTTTTATTTCGCTACACTACCACGGCCTTTACGTAGGCTGGTAAAATTCTGATTCACAGACCTTGCCTAATTTATCATTTACGTAGCTTGGTGATTTGCGAGTCTTCGTTGATGATGTACGAAATTATTAATTTATCTTTCGAGTTGCAGTAGAACATTGCGTAACAGGCTGAGCAATAAAAGCAATGTATGGACTTCTTAAAAATTCATACCTTGATTTAATTTTTAGCAACATCTAACTGATACATTGTATAATAAAATATATTATGATTTATACATAGCTAGAAGGGTACATATATTTGTCATCTAACTAAAACAGATTGTCACAAGGTATCTAACTGACACTTATTTATAGATGCTTTTTATCATTAAGTTTTCTCATTCCTTACTACGTGCCTTCGTGGTGTAAGTAGACAGCTTGTCTGTCTAGCACCCGGAGAGGGCATTTCTCATTTTTCACGTTTCTTTGCTCTCAAAAAAACCTAACAGACTGTAATTAACGAAACATTTTCCTAATGTCATACATTATGTTAACTGTTTTGCTTTGCTTTCATTGCATTTCAGTAGGGAATATTGTTTTTCCATGCAGATGCGATATACTTATAAACTCTACTGGTTTGTCATTCAGCAAAATCACTTATTTTATTTACACATCTGACATAAGCACGAATATATATTTTAATACATATTTCCTGTGAACATCTTTATTTTATTCCAGAACTTCGACATCTTTCAAACAATAAGGTACTGAGTTTATCTTAGGATGTTCCTAAACTTAGTTATAGACAAACTCGTCTTAGACTGGTTTCTTAATTGAAATAGATTGCAGCATTATTATTCAAAACGAGCCATGTTTGCATCAATCTAAAAGGTTAATCTGCTTTTGTGTCTTGTACAGCGTTGCACAATTTCTTCATTTTACGATGAAGTCCGTCATGTCTCGATCGCTCTGAAAAAAATAAAATTTTTTGACTACTCAATGATACCTTTCAGATTGCTTTTGATTACGCTCATTTTTCGAAATCACTGCTTGTAAACGTAAACATCGATCAGCTGTGTGCATCTGTATCGGACTAAATCAAAATGTCAGTTTATATTTTTACGTACATATGCATATTTTTAAATATAATAATTTGTTTTGCTTTTGTAATACTTTTTGTAATCCTAACTGGTGTCAAAGTTATAATAATTTTTAATAGTTCAGAATGGCAGCAAAAAGAAAAAAAAATGAAGAACAAAAACATTTAAAATAAAATGTATTATACAAGTTCTTTTTTCAAATGTTTCTTTTTACTAAATAAGAAAGTACGTAATTATTACTTTTGGAATACTGCCAGGTGCAGCTACACGTGCAGCATTTTTTTAAAGTTTTCGCCCCTCTTTCTTTGCCATTTTTTTCTCTCCGTTTTTCTGAATCGTATATTAATCATGATGCCGATGTACGGCTAACGCTAGAAATAATAACTTAAATAACAATATAATAACTAAATAAAGAGATAACCAAAATAGGCAACTTATGCTTTAAAACTGCTTCATCTGATGTTTTTAAATCCAGCACCAAAACAATTCAGAGAATCCAAATCATAAAATCAGGTCTTAAAAATAAGACTTCTAAAATCCTATGGAGTCTATTGTTAGAACAGGGGTCCTCAACCCTTTTGTTCCTAAGAGCACATTCTAGAATATCTGTTGGACTGCGAGCACCATTTACTTTTTTTATGGTAATTTTTTTTATGGTGAATAGTCAGATTGAATTAATAATATATGCCCATAAAAAAAGTCGCGCTTTGCTTTGTGCGGTATCTATGTTGAACGCAACTTCTATTTCTCTAAAAATGAGAAAACCTTTACATAGAATTATTGAAAACTAAAACTTTTTATTGCGATCGCACAGCAGCGGCACACGTTAAACGATCGGAGGGCGTCATGGTGTCCAGGGGCATAGGATTGGCAACCGCTGTATTAGAATCTTCAAATTGACAGTTTTAAATATATAAAAATAACGATTTACCTTTTTCCCAAAATAAAAGTTTAAAAACTTCCCAAAATAAAAATTTAAAAAGATTCCATTTTAAATTACTTTACAAATCTTTGCTATCCACAGCTTCAAAACAAAGAAAAATTAAATATTTTAATATTCTCAATTGTTTTCAGGTCTGAATTAATACTTCTGTGGGTTAACAGTTCAGATAAATTTTGTGAATAAATATACCAAAAGAATAAAAAAAAGGCTAAAGCTTTCAGATTTTATATTACACCCACACGAGCGTTTTTTAAACTTTTTTTGTGTTTCCTTTATTTATTAAATATCATGTTCTTCGCAATATCATATTCTAAACAATGAAATTCAATTCAACAGCGATAGAACAAAATATCTAGAAAGAGCATATCTTTAAAATTTCCGATACACAGTCTTACGCGGTGGAGATAAAAATGCTTTTATTTCGTATGGTGTTGCCGTTGCTCGCTTTGAAATCGTTCAGTTTGTTATTAAAAATTCGTTAAAGGTTTACAAAATATGAGATAATAAAACAAATTCCAAATTTGAGCTTCCAGATGCTCACAGTCAAGTTGAAGATTACATTATTCACAACTGGATGTCTCTAGGTACCATTGTTTTTTCACAGCGCGAGAAACATACATACATACATTCAGATTCTTCATTATTTGATTTCTTTAAATATAATGCAGGGCTCTAATATTTGGTGCCACTAATTTGAAAATTGAAACGCCGTTTTATAATGGACGACACAAAATCCAAAACGAAATTAATAGTCCTTCTGGGCAAACTGTCCCTTTGGGCTACTAAATAAATAAACAGAAATTTGTTCAATTTTTTTAAATTCTTTTTCGCAACTCCAAGCAGTAATAAATTTTACAGCTAAAGATGTCCGGAGCAAATCATTTGGATACTTTTATCACTTTGGTTTCCAAATATAAAGAATATATCGAATATAAGAAAGTATAGGAGCATTTAACACTGCGTCCATGGCACACACATTCGCCTTTTCTATTAATGATATTTAAATCATCCATTAAAAACAAATTACAAAAATAAATGAAGTGCACATGTATTAATTTTCTTTCTGCCATCTACCCTTATCGGAATAGTGTTATATGTTTTGTTCTGAAGCATGTGTTGCTTGTTTTAATTGTTGATTGAATTTTCAAAACAAGATGAACATCTTTCTGAAATTGAACTGCTTAAACATACAGGTTAATTATTAATAGTAATTTCTGCTAATTATACGTATTTTTATCTGCTGATTATAAATGATTTCGAGTTAAATGTGAACGCCGTCTCTAGTATTACCTCAGTTAGTTGGGAGTATGCTGCATACGCTAAGACTTTATTGATATTAGTTTCTGAGGTAGTCTGCAATTTCCTCTTGCAAATTTTCTGTAAGGCTTCATTATTCGTCTTTCATCGTTTTCTCATATTGAAATTAGCTTCCTTCAGTATAAGTCTGATAATATTATCAGGCTTTTCTATGGCTTCTTCTTCATTACCTGTTCTTTCAATTCCTGATAGAGACATGTAAGCACAGATCTAAGAAAGTAAACGCATTTCGAATATTTTTATTCATATGTTTGTGTGTATACATTGAAAGTTCCTCTTAACATAAAGCGGCGGGATTTGCTTCGACAATAACTCTGGTTATATAATAAGATTTCATAAATGGTTTCTAATTCTTTATTTAACTAAAGAAACTTTACAGCCTTTTCCTTCATCTAAGGCAATATTCATAAAGACCTGCTCTATAGTTAGGCTGTCGATATCGAGTAAGCATGTTTAGTAATGCTGGTTAAAGGTCTGGACCCAAATCCAAGTAATCAGT